GGGCGCCCGTGCGCACGGCATGTTCGAGGTCCGCGTGGCCCCACTCGCTCGCGAGCGGGTTAATGCGGATCGCGACCTCCTTGTACGGACCGTACCCGCGCGTGGCCGCGGCGCACACTAGGGCTCGGGCTTCGGCCTTCTTGAGCGGCGCGACGGCGTCTTCGAGGTCGAGGATCGCTGCGTCGCAGGGCAGGACGCGCAGCTTCTCCAGCGCTCGAGCATTGATACCTAGAGGTCGTGCTTCAAGCAGGAGCATGGTGGCGCTTGTTCATACCAGGCAGGAAGAGGACGCTGCGCCCAAGGCGGCGGGCGCGCTGCTGAAGCATTGTCGTCGGCGTGCCACAAATCAAATGACCGCTTGTCTCGGTCGTGCGTGCCCCGGGGTGCTCTCGCCAACTTCAATCGGCCAAGACTTCGAACTTCGGTCAACTACGACGCTGGATCAAAGGCGAAGTGTTCGGCCAGAGTTGCGGTGTTCTCGGCTTGTACATTACTCGATGACCGAGCCACGCCAGCGGATTCAACCCGTCAACGGTGGGCCCCACTCGAAGAAGGTCGCCACTATCATGGTGGTCAATTTTCATAAAATCTTGTCGCTGTGTGCCGAGCATTTTCGGGTATCGAGCCCAGACTCATTCTGATACCTGGTAGCGACGGCGCAGTGCCTCAACCGCTCCGCTTCGAGTTGCGTGTGGTCCAACAGGATGTCATAGGAAGAATCGCGACTTTGGCGCCAAAGCCATCACTCGGAAAGCCGCAAATCCAGAAATTGGATCCGCCTCAGGTTCCATCGAGCCTACTACCGGTACTGGCATCGATGCAGCGTGGCCAAGGTCGATGGAAACTTGCCTCGCTGAATCTAAAGCACGAATCAAAGCGGGGAGAGGCCCCTTGCACACGTAGTCTGGTATGCAGTCAAGGACAATACCGTCGTGGGATGTTCCATTGTCGAAGCCAGGAGTTTTCAAGAGGTAGTGGCAGAAAAATAGACAAAATAGACATTTACAAACGACTATCTTGGAATAGCAACGGTGGACGTGCATCACGAGCCAGCAACTCTGACGATCGTATGTGGCTCGAGATGTCGGCCAGCAACTCAAATTGAGTTTTGAGTACGTCATTTGCCGTATATTCACGGTAAATATCCACGACAGTGGACCCAAAATAACATTCTGTTTCTCACTTCGGACATTTCGTGGGTCATTCGCCTGGTCATTCGGACCAAATAGGTTATCCAGCAACACACTGTTTCGCGTCAATGCACTAAAGTACAGTCAAGTAAATCGATGCGGCTCTTGGATGCTACGTTGGCGAATCGATTCCATTTCCGTCTGCAACCTCGGCATCAAGCTCCAAGTGCCGAGAGGCAACAGAGGCCAGCGCTTGCATGTCGCCGCTAACAGCATCCTTGTACTAGCCCACGAGGGCTTGCACTACTGTCTGGAATATGAAATACTTCAGGACTAGGGTCATGGGTGGATCAAGTGTGCAATGATGTATCGGTGCTTTTGCTACTCCAACTATCTAGACGTGTTCAAGGAAGATGACGGTGCAAGTGATGTCGTCGTGGATCGTCCTTCGCTGAGGACCCTTGGAGATGGCGAGGAGGTCGTGCAGCGCGAGGCCTTCCTTGCTCGCCGCCCGGTCGAGTGCGCAGTGCACGAGCGCAGCACTCGCCGATGGAATCGGAGCCTCGCCGGCGTTGGCCGCCGTCGTCACTATGAAAGATTTCTAGAGATTTGAGCTCGCGACGGCGACGCACCGTAGTTGGTGACGATCTGGACAGCGAGGAGCGGGGGAACCACCTCCCAGAGCCCGTCGCTCGCCAGAATCAAAAACTTGTCCCGCTTGGTGATGTGGTGCACCACCACGTCGGGCTCGGCCGTGATGTAGGGTACTTTGGCCTTGTACGGCGGCGCGCTAAACTCGTCCGCCTTTAAGTACCAGTCGCCAAGGGCCCGCGTGACGCTGAGCGAGCCCGCAACGCGCTTGATGCCATACTCGCTGCAGCTCAACCTATCGTCTTTGCTCATCCGAATCGCATTGCGATC